TAACCATCCATGGACTCCAAGGTTTTCGTCTTCCATGACATAGCCAAATGAGGATGCTCCATGGCCATGCCGGCATTGATCTCCCAGTTGCAGATGTCGGTGACATCCAAAACCAGTTTCAAATGTTGCTTTTCTTCTTGCTTTTGCAATTCCAGGATGTAGGCTAGCTTTTCGGCCTTGATCATGTTGAGCCTTTGCATTGGTGACCATTTCGTACACGGTGGTGCACACCAGATGAAGTGAGGCTTTTGGTCTCTCACCAACTTGAGGAATGCTTTTCGGTCATTTTCTTTTTCAAAGTCCCAATGAGGTAGGCTGAAAGTAGCGACTTCACAGTCTGGAAAGCGTTTCAACAGTTCTGTAGCCAGGTTGCCTTCATCCACATAGACCTCAAAGAAGATCAATTTTCTTTCTTGTTGAAGGCGCTGCAAAACTTGTTGAGAAATCTCTTCAACTTCATTGGCTTCGGACTCCATGAGGATCTGCTCTGCAATGTCCGACGGTTCTGTCTCACAGGGCGGTTCAATTTCCAGTGGACTTGTCGAGATCAAGACCTCTTCTTCCGTGATGTAGTTCATCTCTTGTTCGTCTTCATGATATTCCAACAAGTTCAAGACATAGTGGCCTTTTTGTCCACGACTTGGTTGAAACCATTCGGATTGAGCCACCTTCATGTTGCCACTGGCGTAGTCTTGTTTCACCCCCCATTGTTCCAGCACAGGTCTCGCCAACAGGAAGGGAGTGTGCCCAGGTACCACTGAAACCGTGATGGGCAGCTTTTGACCTTTCACCAAGGCGTTGAAGGAGATTTCGTAGTTGGATTCAAGCATCTCTCCGCCGCCGAACTTGAAGGATCGCTTTTGTGCCTGAGTACGGAGAGGTCCAAGTAGGCCTTCATCATAGTGCTCGACCCATTCTTTCCACACTTCTTCTCCGACCAGTGTTCTTGTTGCACCTGAATCCACAATTGCATGACCTGGAGTAAGGGTGGCAAAGAAGATGTCCTCTTGAAAGCACTCTTCCGCTAGTTCCTCCACCATGGTCACTTCTTCACCTCCAACTTCTTTGACACCTTGTGCTTGCACTCGATATCGTTTGAACCTCGGTCCATGAGAAGAATTGGAACCGGTCAGGGTCGATCTCAACTCGGAGGAGGTAGTAGTCGACGATGATGGTGGCTTTCGAAGACCATGCATTGGGCGTCGAGGAAACATGCTTTTTCCTTTGCCTTTTCCCTTTCCTTTTCCTTTACTCTTTCCTTTGCCCTTTGAGCTTCCCTTTCTTTCGCTTTTGCCTCCTTTGCCATGATCGAAGTCAGGACCAATGGCCACGACGGGATAGAAGCCACGGGCCAAGGCAAGTTCCTTCATTCTTTTTCTTGATTCCAAGTAGGAGATGTAGGCTTCATCCATGTTTTCGTATGCTTCTTCAAGCTCCTCAGGGATTTCTTCTTCATCTTCATCACCTTCATAGTAGACTTCGTGCCAATCATCTTCTTCTTCTCCTTCGTAGTAGAACTCCTCATCAAAGTCTTCCTCATAGAAGAACTCGTCTTTGGATGACTTGGCAACAGGTCCAATGTCCTTGGTGTTTGGTTTGTGATCTCCACCAAACATTCGAAGCAAAGCTCGTTGGACCTCTTCATAGTCAAGCTCGCCTTTGCACAATGCTTTCACTTGCACGTGTGTCCATTTTGGAGTTCCACTTCGGGTCAACAAGTGCCATCCAGCAAGAAGTGGTGGAATGTCAATCTTGACCTCTCGAAGTTTCTTCAACGCAGTGCGGTGGCGAATGAGGTATGCCTGCATTTCTTCTCCCTTCTGACGATTGAAGCTTTGAAAGAACTCTTCACACCGATATGGAACCTCAATTTGTTCTTCATATTGAAATAGCTGGTCCATCATGGTGAACAAAGGTGCGAACGGATTTGTTCCACTTGTGATTTCTTTCAAATCTATTTGTTCTGCTGCATCCCAAACAGTGTCCTTGAGGAGGCTGATGACCAAAAGAGCACCTTCAATCTCAGCATCCGTTGAGCGTCGACGACACTGCAGGGCATATAATTCCAATCGTCTTCTGTAGCTGCGATAGCCACTTTGCGTTAGCCCCTCGGCCGATGGTGCGGCCTTTGCCAAGCCACTATCCAATCCACGATAGTTGTTGGAGCCAGAGGAGGGAGTTCCTGGACTAGCTCCATTCGCTGCACGTGGAGGAGAAGGAGGTATTGGGACATCAACTGGTTGTTCGCCTTCTGGTCTCTCTCGCTGTCTTCTTTGCTGACCACTCATTTGTGACTGCCTTGCTGAACGTGATCTTTAAGATGAGCCAGTTCTCACCGGCCAGGATTACCCTATAGGCGTCTTCAAACAAAAAGTTCACCCTGGTCAAATTCCGGGAGGATCGTCTTGGGCTCCGCTACCAATCTCGAAGTACTTGAACTCACGAAGTTCCAAGCAACCAAAGAAAAAGAACTCGAAGGCCGCGATGCGTCCTTTCTCACAATGCCAGCGGGTGGCGAAGGTCGTCGCCGAACGTGACTCAAGGGCCCTTCGGCCGGATTTGAGAATTGAAATTCGATTGCGGCGTGACTTGAATGTCATCTATCCGCTCTCATCATGAAATGCATTGCAAAATGGAAAACAAATCTCACATGTGCATTCGCAACATTGACACCAAGTCTATTCGGTGACAAATGGGTACTCCACCCCGTCATGTTCAGCATGTCGAGTAAGTGATAGATGAGACTTGCATGTACCACAGAGCCAATGGGCAAACCACAAAAATCATATTCCCAAGTGTCTCCCTTTAGGGCGAATAAGTTTTACACCTCTAGTTACAATATTCAACGCAACGGAGAAAGCAAAGAAGCCAACAACAATCAGACAAGACAAGTGTGGAGCAACAAAAACAATTACGTATCATATCCTGTTGTCCTGAAACCTCTTAAGCATATTGGAAAGGGTATTCTTACTGGTTTAGTTCTGCCGCAGTCGCGCTGTTTTTAAAACTGGACGTCGGGTGCGCCACTCTCAACTGCCAACGACCTACTTGGCACATGTCCAGAAGATCATCAGCCTGAAATCATCCAGCCCAAGTGTCTATGCTCTCCTATCAGCAAGTATCTTGAGCAAACTTTCCCAATAGCAAATCTGGGACATTGCCCAAGGGCAAAGTTGCAAAAGACGGAGTACTTTTTATATTGTTTAATGAAAAAGCCCTACTACCCATGTTCACAACCGGATAAGAACATGGAGGCAGCGACTACACAAATAGGCTAAGTCTCGGTGCATGTGCCCTGGTCATTGACCAGTTGAGGGATCCTCATCTTTGCGACTTGTCACGCAGAGCTGCAACGGCCAAATGAGGACTTCGCCGCTGAAAACAAACAGCAACTACCCAACTTCTTGTTACTACTAGTAAGGCACTTGTTACTAGAAGCGATGCACTTGTTACTAGTAGCTTCTTGTTACTAGTAGTAAGGCCAGGAGCCCCTAGTAGCGTCCTTGTTCCGTTCGTAGCGATGCCCTGCTCTGCCGAAGATGCCCCCCATCGGTTCTGACTCTAGTGGACTCCGGTAGAGGACCATCCGCAAACCGGTTGTGACGAGGCCAAACCATCCGGAAACCGGTCTGATGGCCATTGATTTCAGTCCACTTGGTCGCCACGTGATCCCTGTCACCAAAACGAAGCAGGGAGGATCACTGGGTCGTCGTCTGTTCGTGGGGGAATCTGCCACAGGTTGGGAAGGATATAGGTTGACCCATCTGTAAATCTGTAATTTTAAAATGACAAAGCTTGTCAGTCCTTCTTGTTAGTCCACAAAGGGTAGCTAAATACAAATAGGAAAAGGACGCTCATGATTGCAGCAGCCATCTTCTTGCACCCTGGCAACCCGTAAAGGAAGACTTTCCAACGGTATCAGCAACACCATATGAATGGATATGCGTCCAGATTCCCCACACAATAATATACAGTACAAGAGTTATCTGGGAACAGGATGTGATTGACATGCACAGTGTTATCTAGTCACAGTGGCAAGTCGTGGGAAAACGGATCCCTGAGCAAACCTACTTCGCTACGAAAGCAGATCAAAGCGGAGTGCTTTAGTACCATCCTTCCATTCGCTATCATTGGAGGCCATTGCCATAAAGTTGCTTTCTGGAAAAATAAAGTACCGCACATTGGGCTGGTTCCAGCTCTTTTTTTCCGAGGCATGGGACGTCCCACAGAGTAATGGGCCACACCACACACTACGGTGTTACTGCACTCACGCTTCCCAGCCTCTGTCCATTTACCCTACGACAAGCATACAGCGGGATCAAAAGCAACAAATGTTACTATGCCATGCGAATGGACTTCACATTTAGATGGCGAAAAGTTAAGGAAGGACATGGGTCTGTCACTAAGGTGTCGCGTTGCCCGTCGACCGATTGACCGCAAGCTGCCCTTGTGGTTCCGGAGCCTTTAAAGATGGTGGCAGAGTCAGGTGCTAACAAATTGATGAACCGCCAGATGTTATGCATCGCTCCGTATGTGTATTGTCTGGCAACAAGATCACTATCATGTTCAATAATCAATACCATTTGGCCAGAACACAACCCAATCCAGTATTGCGAACTCCTTTCAAGTAGAGATAAATAGAATAGCATGTTGCTTAAAAATTTGATCAATGAAAATATTCCCTCCGGACTCCCCCTTCTGTCTGTAATTTGTCATGATTCATGTATAGGATCTACATGTGACACACGTAACATCGGGGAGCCTGCAATCCTGTTTCGAGTTGTATGTCCCTTTAGACACACCGACGAGCCTTGTGCGATTCTGGCCGCCCGGGTCAGCGTTTCTACGCCAGGCCCCAGCATCTGAAAGGGTCGAGCTGTGTTTTTTCGCTGTTCGCTTCATAGCCAAATCCAACAAAACCAGTCCCGGTTCGTAAAGCGTCTGTGTATGAACCTGCCTCACTGTCACCATCACCTCGACCAACCACGACTCCGCTGGCGTCAGCGGTTGCCACGCACACAGCTAGGCTGTAAACCTCTCAATTCGCCGCTGGCTTGTGAGTCACTTCGCTGTGCCAGATGGGGCTGGGTGGACCCATGTCCACCAGCATTCCATCCACTAAAAATGCCACACGAGAGCAGCGAGAAGATTTGCCCCCTGGTCCGCGAGAAGATGGGACTTCTTGTTTTCAAAAGTCTTCTTGCAAATCAGGAATTCTTTCAGGGGGATGAGTAGCGTTGACTTGGGCAAACGAGAGTGGTCAACATCAAACACATTTTTGGAGATACGCATTGAACAGGATCAGGACATATCTACACTATAAGATTGGTGCCTTCCTTGGCGGCATTCCTTCGGTCTGGACAAATACCTTTTCCCAACATTGGAATGAACCACCCAGGCGCAACCTTCTAAAACAGGCTGTTCTTCTAGCAAGCTCCGTCCAGCACCAAAAGTATTATTACTGCAGCAAGGACGCCACTAGTAGCTCCTGGCATTACTACTAGGAACAAAAAGCTACTAGGTGGAGGCCATCTCGATTAGGTTGGAGGCCATTGCTATTAGGTTGGAGGCCATCGCTAGTAGGTTGGAGGGCATTACTACTAGTAACAAGAAGCAACTAGGAAGGACGCTACTAGTAGCTCCTGGAAGAACACTTGCAGCAAGCTCCATCCAGCACCAAAAGTATTTTTACTGCACATGAATGCTCCAATCGGGCCTAGGCGGTCTAGATCCGGCATGTTTGGTGCTTCCCCACAACAACGATCTGGCATCGCACATCCGCTCCTGTTTCTTCTTCCCCCCAACCCAGGTCCTTTCCATGCCGTCACTCAAATCCAATCGGTGCCTCAGATTTGCTTGGAGAAAGCTCTATTTCCTGCAAAGGCACTGAGATGCACTAAAATACACATTGGAGCACAAGAAGCTAATAGTAACAACTGCATCGCTACTAGGAGCTCCTGGCATTAGTACTAGGAGCAAGGACTCTTATCGTTTTCACCATCTTAGCCACCCCATACTGGAGACGCCATCCACACAGCCTGTGTCTTCGGTCCACAGGGCCCTCAAGTGTTCGCTTGCCAAGAGCTAGCTTAAAAAAGGCCTAAACCGAAGCGATGCCCTTTGCCTCCTTCGTAGCACCCTTGTTCCTAGTAAAGCCAGGAGCCCCTAGTAGCATCCTTGCCCCTTTTGATCATGAAATCACATTCTGTTTTTCGCTTCACTCGGTTCCACTCGGTTCCACTCGCTTCCATCGCCCAAGCTGCAGTGTCTTCTTCTTCTCCATGCCTCGCGCGCTTCGCTCCGACAGCGTTGCCCTCAGGCTGAGGCCTCCTGAGAGGCTTCGAGTGGTCGAGCGCCGCAGAGTGACCTCGCAGTAGCGGAGAGGGTCCAGCCAGAAGGCGTACCTCAAGCGGGAACATACTGGGCTCGGTTCAAACAAGTCTGTAGCCATCTGTAGCCTATTGCAGTTTGAGTCTGCAGGTGCATCAAATTAAAGAGCGATGAAGGCTGCTGAGCAGCTGGGGATGATGGACGAAGGAAGTTACCAGATTCTAAAGATTCTAAAGTTCTGTGAATTGGTACGTATAAACAAGAAGCTACTAGGTTGGAGGCCATCGCTCTTACGTTCGGGGCCATTCCTACTAGGTTGTTGGAGGCCATCGCTACCAGTAACAAGAAGCTACTAGTAACAAGGTGCCTTACTAGGGCTGGTGCTTGTTGGGGTGCCACTCCAAGGCACGATGGTGGTTTTGCTGCTCCTGACGGAGCAGCTGGATTGAAAACATATGAAAACATGCTTTCTGGTGTTTCATGGGGTTTCAGTTTCTGTTGTGTCTTCCAATCGAGCAGCGTGAGGAAGAAGCCGAAGAAGAAAGACAAACCTCCAGCGCCCAGAATGCACACGTTTTTCATGGTTTCACCCATGCGGATTCGATCTGGATCCATCTGAGCAGCAGAAAAGGTCATGCCACCTGCAGGGATTTCTTCGTTCCGGTCTCAGCAGAAAGGGTCTTGTGCACGATGGTTTCATAAGGGCTGTACCGTGGGGGGCTATCCGGATTGCTATTGGGATTTGGAGAATGGTGCTTCCGGTGGGTAAATCGAACGTGCACTTTAACCCCTAAAACTGGGCTCCTGCCTGTCTCTTCACCTAAGTGTGCCAGAGTCAGTGCATCATAGCTGTCTCTACAAATCAATGGGCCAAGCTTGTTCGCCGCGCGCTGGAACATGCCGCCGATATGCATTCCGCATTTCCTCAGCAAACGGGACGACAGAAGATCTGTTCGTGAACACAAACGAAAGTGCTCGTTCTATTTTCGCTTTTCGAAGAGTCGTTCTTTCCCCAAGGTGTTCGTTCTATTCCTACAGGGCCACACCTTCCCAAAGGAAGCAGACAAGGAAGAACATCGCTACTAGGGTGGAGGCCATCGCTAGTAGCTTGGAAGCAGAGCCGCCAGCCTTAACCAACCAACAGCAACTCTCATCAGGCCCAGGACTCTTGTCGAAGGGCGCGGTCATCGGTGGAAAATGCAATAAGCCGATGATGATGTTCACGCCCACATCGAACTTTAAGTCCATGTAGATGGGGATCTCACCGTCCCCCAGAAACTTCTCCACCAACGAGCCTGCCGATGCTGTCCAGTGAGTGGCAATGAAACTGCGCAAGATGACACAAGTGAACTGCTATGACATGAAATAGACCGGCAACCTTCAGTGCATAAAGGCTATTACATGCTACTACCAAACGCTTCCAAGACCGCACAAATTGTAAGTAATTATGTGGTTTAGAGAAAGAAGTAAGAAACAAATGTTTTCAGTTTTCGGAAGCGGATTTTGCGGTTTCATGACAATGTGATGTTCGAGCACGTGGCAATTGCACATCAGTATTGTATCATTCTGTGCAGCTTGCCTTCAAGTATCCACACCGAACCCATTCTTTGTGAGTGTTACCAACAGTCGCCATCAATCCCAGTCAGACTTGCAGGAGCGGGGGGAGGGGCTGACCCCAAAAGAACAGAGGTAAAAGATGGTTTCTTTCGGGTTAAAGATTGTTTCTCACCAACCTGCCTTTATAATTCTGGCAAAAGTACAGGCGTCTTGTACGGACCAAAAAGTATGGGATACTTCGGGGTCCCTTCGGGGTCCCTTCGGGGTCCCTTCGGGGTCCCTTCGGGGTCCCCCTGTCTTTCAACGAAAAAAAGCCGATATCCAGCAACAAATCCCATGTTGGCACCCACGCTGTTCATGTCGGAAGCGGTTGTCCGTTCCCAAACCGGTTTTGGTCGAATCGACCTGCGACCTTCGGTCCGGTGTCCGAATGCTTCGCTGCAACACATCGAAAAAAACGAAAGTCCGATGCCCTGTGGGAATCTAGTATTTCATGATCCCCTCAACGGGAAATAGTACAAAAGGGTGTTTCAAAGAAACGTAAAAGATGAAGGAATGACCCAAAGAAAAGCCGAGGTAGTTCACCAAAGACCCAGGGTTTAGCGTCTACACACAAATCTGGGGTCCCAAGAGTCCAAGACCAAGGACTTTGTGCCACCTCTCGCACATCCCGCACCTGAAGAGGTTCGAGCGATCTTACTGTCCATCAGCACCCGGATGACCCCCTGACCACCCGCAGGAAGCGTGGATCCTCGCCAAACGGATGAGACGAACATCTCATCTGTTCTTTGTCTGAGTAGCGTCCTTGCTCCTAGTAGTATGGCCAGGAGCCCTTGGTAGCGTCCTTGCTCCTAGTAGCGATGCCCATTGCTCCTAGTAGCGTCCTTGTTCCAGTCTTGTTACAGTTTCTTGGATGAAAGTCAACTTAGTAGATTGTTTTTGCTTTTTTAAAAGTGATCATGACAGCCAATGAAGACTGAATGACTTTCCCAGAAACGTCGAATCGTCCCTTGAGCCAAGCAAAAATTGGCCAGGTTGTGGGATAGACTCTTTGCTTTTGCATCTTGATGAACTGCTGTCTGCAGAATTCAAAACGTTCACCCATGTTCACCCTACCTACCGTGGCGTCCTTCTGCCAGCGTGAGCACGCCTACATCGGTACCTGCCATGTGGTCGGTGCAAAAGGTTGGTGTCAAAGTGCAGCAAGGGGATATGCAAAGGGTCTACACGAGTCTACGGCATACGGTCTGCAGCCCAATAAAAGGAAACACACAGAAAACAAGAAAAAAAATAACATACTATTGTATGAATATTCAATAGTAACAAGAAGCTACTAGGGGCTCCTGGCATCGCTACTAGGAGCAAGGACGCTACTAGGGGCTCCTGGCCTTACTACTAGGAGCAAGTAGCTACTAGTAACAAGAAGCTACTAGGGGCTTTCTTAGATTGCCTTTCTGATCAACATTCTTGACCGAGGCGATTGGCCTCGGTCGCTCCCCACATAGACGTGGCCGGGGGTATCGCTAAGGATCTCCACCTGCACGGCACGTCACCGATTGTTCGACCGATCTTCGGTGAAAACAAAAAGTAAGAAGCAAGAAGTGTGATGGCCTCCAACCTCCTAGCAATGGCCAACCTGCTAGCGATGGCCTCCGGCCTCCAACCTAAAAGCGATGGCCTCCAACCTGAGAAGAGTGATCCAAAAACCTGTCGAATGAGACTCCTATCTACAAGGGAAATTCACTGAGAAGTAAACATTGATAAATAGGTACCCGTCCGCGGATTGCCCCAACAATGCCACTTTAGGAGCTTCGAAGTTGAAACAGGAAAAGTCCAGCAACCTAAACGTATAGATGATCGGAGGGAGTAGAAGTTGTGGATGAAGCAACCCTCTTGCATCCTGATGTCGTTCTCATGTGTTTTGCCCTGATTTCCCCAGCGGCCCAGTTCGCACCTGGTAAGGGTTCGGATTGGAACAAACCACATGAATCTCAATAGACACGTGGATCGTCTCTCCCATCTCAAAGTTCTTCAATTCCTGCAATCGCTGCTGTTTTCCACATGGGGCCGACGCTCCCTTCAATTCCTGGAAACCGTGGCTATGACTCTCGACATGGCTACACATTGATGTCCCTCTTGAGCTTAGTAAAACTTATCATTTGCTTTAGGCACACTGTCTCAAGCGCAATGTGGCGAGCTTCATTGGTCCTTGTGACAAGTTGAACCTTCATCAAATCCAAGGTACTAGTAGCTTTTTGTTACTAGTAGCGTGGCACTTGTTTCTAATAGCTTCTTGTTACTACTAGTAAGGCACTTGTTACTAGTAGCGATGCACTTGTTCCTAGGAGCTTCAGTCGGAATGCCGATGAAACTTCCGCCAAGGCACAGCCGTCTGATCCCCGCACACGGTTGCGGAGTAGACAGGTGTGAACTTCACGAAGAGATATCTGACGGAAGATCGGACGTTCAAAACCGAAAAAATCATAGCACGTGAGCGAAGAGTATAAACTTGCTTCGCAATAGCCTGCCCAAAGACCATGGACAAACATGTAGAATTGATGTAACACGTGTTTCCATGAAGCTGTGTATTCCTTACAAGCATTCATAGTTGTCTCTTGTGCCTAGAAGGTGCAACTTCTTGATCCATCAATCTCATATAGGCTGCCTTCTAGGCTCATGATGGCATATCTACGTATATTCCAATGTAGTTGCTCCGATGGAGGCCATCGCTAACAGGATGGAGGCCATCGCTATTTGGTTGGAGGCCATCTCTAGTAGGATGAGCTCTTTTCCTCCAAGCCACGCATTGATGATCCCATAGACCAGGAGAGCCACGCCCAGCTTTTCACGCCATGTCATGGCCACGGCGTGAAAAACGCCCCCGGGCCGTTGGAACTTCGAAGCGCTTGGAGCCGAGAGGTCGACGTTGACTTTTATGGGCCTCCTTTTGGTTGGCCAAAGTATCAGATTGAGAAGTCACACTTTGGGGAGGAGCAACCGCCTTCAACAGCTGTTTATGTTACTCAAATCCAGCAAGAAGAGAGTAGGGCAGGGAGTGAGTTTGGGTGACCAACATGCTATGGAGATGCAACATCTAGACCAACCACAATCTTTGTTCCACCGCGTGACTTCGCCGCGAATGATGCAATCAGTGCCGGACAGCTCGGCACAAAGTGGCTCTGGTCCCAAGTATGAACCTCTCACGTTGCAGAACACTCGACAGCTCTCGCGTCATCTGTGGAGGAACTGTACGACGCACTGCGCTGCAAACCAAGTTGATCCTATGTGAGGCAGACTCGATCCTCAAAAACTGGTCACGGCCACGAAAGCTGTTTAAGCAAAAGCAGCCCAATCACAAGTCGGCAGGAATGATTGCCTTCAGGTCTTCTAGGTATATCAGTTTGTCACATATATACAGTATATCACTGTATTGCAACTGTATGTATCAATGCCTCGTCCAAAAATGGCCTCTCATGTTCGAAAACCCTGTAGCATAAAGTGACTTTTGCACTGAACTCATGCTGGATCGGGTCTGCGGGTAGTCGTTCTGGATCAGGTGGTGCCATGGTCTTTCAGCTGTGGGAGCTGAACAACGAAAGACTCCGAAGATGACCAGGAGAAGCTGGGGTTGTGAGAGGAAGCAGCGATGTTCGACCCAAGGACTGGCCATCTAGGGCGTTCCATTTGGGTGGCTTATGGTCGCTTCAGGGCTGAAAATCACATCGTTTTGTGGGTGACTTTCCTCATGTCTTCCTGCAGCACAAAAAAGGCCAAAAGCTTCGGTGTAGCAAAGGCCATCCACCGTCCGACTGTCGAGGTCAAACCTGGGCTGTCTTAGGCCCCGCACGTGCGATCAGGACGTTCTCAGGCTTTAAATCACGATGCATAACCTTGATGCTTTGGGCACACAGAGCTGCACATGGTCTAGGTTTACAGTTTGTCAGCTTCCAAATCATGAGTGGTACACGGTATCTAGGAGGCCATCGCTAGTGGGTTCCTTTGCTATTAGTTAGTCGGCTTCTAAATCATGAGTGGTGGGTGGCTCCATGCCTCGCGTGACATGACTTTGCCGCTTGAGGACCAAAAGTTAGTGGTAAAACAAGCATCACAGAGCCCTACAAAATCCTACAAGTTCTCGGTGACTTTCCTCTACACGGCCATCCCAAACATTCTGAACTTATTCCTATGGATTTGTCAAAGACCCGAGAATTGTCAACCCAAAAGTCTACAAGACTTGGACTCTGTTTTCTACGACGGGCCTGGCCTTGTGGTGGTGCATGTATGCAATGGCGGAGAGCAAATGCTTCGACACATGCCTGCTCGCACAGCAGGCTCTCAGATCTACTTCCAACTCATGGTCACATTTTTTTAAACATGTTTCATGCCGCAATCTCTACCCCCAGCTCTGGGCAAAGAACACTCAACAAGAGGAGCAGAGGAGCTGTCTGATGTTGATGGCTAAGCTCTTTGATTTTGGGGGCTTAGGAACTTGTGATAGACATTGATAGACCATCAAACCGGACCTATAATTAAAAGGTTGTAGTTTGGCAGCATCCAGCTCCTCTCATCAAGTGGAAGAACCACCGATGTGGCTGTGCACCTGAAGATAGACCATAGCCTGATTGGCTCGTGACCGGTTTTCTGAGCGCCTCGAGGAGGCCTCAGGTCCGAGACCCTTGCCGGGCTCGAGCTTACCGTGAAGATCGCCGCCTCCCGAGACACGGCCGATCTGCGCGCGCCGCGCGCGTGGCGTGCATGGCGGAACCGGGGCGACCGGTGTCGAGAAGACGAGGTGGAAGAAAGTTGAAGTCTGGGAGACTGGGCAAAGAAGATGCCCTTTGCTCCGTTCGTAGCGTCCGATCGCTCCTAGTAGCGATGCCCTTTGCTCCTAGTAGCTTCTGGGTCCAGACTGTCTGGGAAGACGTTTGAAGGTAAAGAAGAAGGCAAAGAAGGGTGGACAGTCATGGTGAGGGTGCTGTTGCCACTGAGTTTGAACGCGATGATTGAAACGTGACGATTGGGTTGGAGGATGTCTGGAGCTCAGCACATGTTCGATGTATCCAAAAAAGGAAACACCAGAGAATGGCGAACGAAAACAGTAAGTTACTGCTAGTAAGGCACTTGTTACTAGAAGCGATGCACTTGGTCCCAGTAGCTTAAACACCAAAAAGGAAACACCCATTCTTCATGCAAAACCAACAGGCCTCGCGCCAGGTCCATGACGATGAAACAAAGGTCACCTTCCCAAAAGGCCTCACGGTGGCATGATAAGGTTCCAGATGTTCCAGTCCGGCCCTGAGGTGGCTCTTGGCCGAAAGAACTGACAAGTGGTTGATGGCACCAACTTCAGAAGTACTGCTCATGAGATCTCCTTCAAAGCTGAAGCACTGTCTATAGATGACGTGGAGCTTCGGAATGAGCGGTTGTCACACGCCTCTTTGAGGTTGACAATCCGAGGATGGTGAAGCCTCAGAACAGAAATTCTAGGACCCACCGAAAGCTTACCAAGGGCCCCTGGTGGATGGAGTGATGAGATTGCAATCCAAGTTGCTGCTCAGGTAGCTGATGAATTGGCTGCTCGGGTAGCTCATCCGACAACACTCAACAATTTATCACGGGTTGCCACATGTTCGTCGCAGACGTGAAATTATGGAGATGTTACTCTCAAACCCTGAACAATGAACTCACAATGAAACAGGGAAATGAACTCACAATGAACAAGCACCATAAACAGCGAAACCACCCTTTGAGGCACTGGGCAGGAAAACCCTCCATGCTCTCAACCCTCTCTCAACCCTCTCTCAACCCGTACAGTATCGCCTCCCAATGAACTCAACGTATCTGCCACCATCTTTTGACCCGGTCTGGGCTCCGACTCTCTCATGACGAGGATTTCCCGCCTCGACTGCTCTTCTCCCGTGGAGCGGAACGGTCTTCGCTGTTCACTGGGACTCATCGGACTCATCCGATTTGAAGACAGGAGGTGGACTTGGGTTAGCTGGTCCCTTCTGTACTTTAGGATTCAATAATTAGAAGGCCTTCTTTTTCTCTCACACCATCACTGAAGTCATGGCAGTCGCCCCAGACCCAAAAGGTCAGGGACCCAAACATCATCTCTTCCTGCTCTTTTGTCATATTTGCATGAGTGTACGGTGTTGCGACAGGATCTTTCGGTGTTTCCTTTCGGTGGGGGTTCCGTCCATCAACTCTCCGCATAGGAACATGGTTTGCTACAATTCTAATGTTACTACTAGTAAGGCACTTGTTACTACTAGCGATGCACTTGTTCCTAGTAGCTTCTTGTTTCTACTAGCTTCTTGTTACTACTAGTAAGGCACTTGTTACTACTAGCGATGCACTTGTTCCTAGTAGCTTCTTGTTTCTACTAGCTTCTTGTTACTACTAGTAAGTCACTTGTTCCTAGTAGCGATGCCAGGAGCCCCTAGTAGCGTTCTTGTTCCTAGGCTGTCTGCGCTACATAAATAAGACATCCCTACTACCGACGGAGTTCCGACAACTACACCCACCCGTGGAGACCGTCGCGTGTGACTGCGCGAGCGCCTCAAGCTGGCAACGGTTCGCTCCCTCAATGAGATGGCTTTGGTATTCACCACCTGCATGATGGCTCCATAATGTGGGGCTGATGCGAAGGAAGTTGTCTCCTATTGTAAAGAAAGCGCAAAAAGAGTCTAGCATCCAATTTCTAAAGACAAGAAAAACGGCTGGAAGAAATCTTTTAGAGAGTTCTGATTAAAGAGTTGAAGAAAAAAGGAGTCGACTGAGTCATGACCGGGTCAAGAACCGAAAACCCACCCATCCAGCGATTTTTGAAGCGCTTCTCGCTGAAACTGAAGAAGCCTCTAGCCACAGCTTAGCTTACACGAATTCATGGGGTGCCGTTGTGTCAGGCATTGTGTAGCAAAAACAGTTTTGTTTCCTACAGAAAGGCCTTTCCAACGTACAAAATGTTAGTTTGGTCCTTAGAAAATGGAATTACTTGGCATCATTTCGTACAGAGCT